TGTAAATTTCAATCAGATGCCCCCTCATCCCTCTAAACTCCACTGATCACAGACCCAGAGTCCTCAATCTCTCCTCATATGACAAGCCCTTCATCCCTGGGATCATTTTCATTAAGCTCCTCTGGACTACCTCCAACGTCAACATATACGGGCCACAAAACTGCTCACAATATTCCAAATGCAGTCTTACCAGAGCCTTATACAGCCTCATCAGTACATCTCTGCTCGTGTATACTAACCATCTTGAAATGAATGCTAACATTACATTTGCTTTCCTTACTGCTAAATTAACCTGCATGTCATCTTTAAGAGAATCCTGGACTAGGACTCCCAAGGCCCTTTGTGCTTCAGATTTCTGAAGCATTTCCCCATTTAGAAAATAGTCTCTCCCTTTATTCTTTGCACCAAAGTGCATGACCTCCATTGTATTCCATCTGCCACTTCTTTGCCCAATCTACAAGCCTGTCCAAGTCCTTCTGTAGCCTAGCCTCTATGCTTCTTCAACACATGTCCCTCCACTTATCTTTATATCATCTGCTAACTTAACAACAATGCCCCTAGTTCCTTCATCCTGATCATGAACGGATCATGTGAATAGTTATGGTCCCAACACAGACCCCTGTGGAACTCGATTAGTCACTGGCTGACAACCTGAAAAAGACCCCTTTATCCTTACTCCCTACTTTCTCTTGATCAGTCAATCCGTTATCCATACCAGTACCTTGCCTCTAACACTTAGGGCTCTTATCAGTCTCCTGCATGGCATCTTGTCAAAGGCCTTCTGGAAATCCAAATAGATCACATCCACTGGCTCTCCTTTGTTTAAGTTGCTCATCATTTCTTCAAAGAATTCCAACAGATTTGTCAGGCATGAACTCCACTTAGTGAAGCTGTGTTGCCTCAGTCCCACTTTACCATGCATTTCCAAGGACTCTGCAATCTCATCTTAATAATGGACTGTACAATCTTACCAATGACTGAGGTCAGACTAATCTGCCTAAAGTTTCCTGTCTTCTGCCTGCCTCCCTTCTTAGACAGGGATGTTACAGTAGCCATTTTTCAGTCCTCTGGGATGCTGCCTGATTCCATTGATTCCTATAAGATCGATGCCTCTGCAATCTTTTTCAGAATCCTGGGTTGTAGTCTATCTAGTCTGGCTGACTTATCCACCTTCAGACCCATCATCTTCCCTAGCATCTTCTCCCTAATGATAGCCACTACACTCACCTCTGTCCCTGACTCTCTTGAAGTTCATCCATCCCATGTGAACAATGTCCAATGTCATAGCATTCAAAGCTGTGGGCCAAGTGTTGGAAAGTGAGATTAATGTAGAAAGGTTAGTGCAGATTTGATGGGCTGAAGGGCCTCTTCTGTGCTGGATGATTCTATGCTGAACTCCAACACAATGCATTCACTCCTCCAGAACTTGACTAAAACATGGAGATTTCTAATGTCTGCAGAGCAAGCAAGTCTCACATCATCCTTAAGCATTACACAATTTTATTGGAGAAGATTGTACAAGATTAATATTTATAGAATCCCATTTGAAAAAGGTTCAGAGTTGTGCACAACGGCAATAACCTGGCAACGTTATTCTACTGTCCATTAAATTTCTTTCATTCCCTTCCTCCTGAAAGTATTAGCTTCTTATAGTCGAACTGCATTATCACATCCAACAGTCTGATCTTCACAAACGTCACAGAAGTGAGTATCAACGGATTATTTCTTTCTAAACTGAATGTGTCTTCACCTCATATCCACAGATGGGCTGAGCAGCAGAAATAGGCCATTCTGCCCATCTAGCCTGCTCCACCATTCAAGGACATCATGGCTGATCTGGTAATCCTCAACTCCATTTTCCTGCCTTTTCCCCATAATCCTTGATTCCTTTACTGATTAAAAGCCTGTCTACCTCAATCTTTAATATACTTGAAGAAACAGCCTTGACAGCCCTCTGTGGTAAAGAATTCCACAAATTCATCACCTTCTGAGAAAAGAAATTCCTCCTCATTTCTATCTGAAATGGGCAACCTCTTATTCTGAGATGATACCAACTGGTGCTACATTGTCCAACATGGGGAAACAACCTCTCCACAACTACCTATCAAGAATTGTACTATGCTTCAATAAGGTCACCTCTCATTCTTCTAAATTCTAACAAGTACGGGCATATCTAACTCCTGTAGTTAGGTCTAAATAATTAAAATACAGTGAGAACCAAAGCAGGAATTGAACCCACACTGTTGGCAACACTTTGCATGGCAAACCAGCTGTCTAGTCAACTGTGCTAACTGATGACATTTTGCCTAAGACTGCAGAATTCACAGAAACCCAAACTGTGAATTACAAATAGTCAGGACATAAACTGATTCAGAGATAGTAGGAACTACAGATGCTGGAGAATCTGAGATAACAAGGTGTAGAGCTGGATGAACACAGCAGGCCAAGCAGCATCATAGGAGCAGAAAGGCTGACGTTTCGGGCCTAGACCCTTCTTCAGAAAATTTTCTGATGAAGGGTCTAGGCCCGAAAC